ATTCTCCAGCCAGCTGGCTGGAGAATTCTGGGAGTTGAAGTCCACAAGTCTTAAAGTTGCCAAGTTTGGGGACCCCTGGGTTGAGAGGATTGTCTCCAGTTGGGCCGTGTGATGGACTTGTGGGCGAGGGGATGGCTTTTGATTTTTAATTACGAAGGGAAAACCCAGAACTCTCAGATTTGGGCTTTCCCAGATGTGCCAGTATGAGCAGCAGCTGGCCCTGGAGAACACACACACACACACACACACACACACACATACACCTGCCCCCCCCCAACATCTCCCAAAAGTGCCGCCAGTGTTAATGGCTTCAACTTGGCAGTAAGGAAAATGGGAGAATAACCGTGTTGACTGTATTTAATGGACACAATATGAGTTGATCCATATTTATTTAATTCATCCCGAGGCTGGTTAGCTTAGCTCTGCCTTGAGAAATGCCCGAATATTGACTTATAATAGCCTTTTGGATGATTATTTGTTTTTCAGTAGCTAATTCCATAACTTAATTGAAATAAAAGGCTCATGGCCAAAGGATCCTTTCTGCAGCCAACCTGCAATCCGTTCATTCCTTGTTCGTTATGAAGCATTCTTCACCCTTCCTCAGTCTGCTAAGTTCCACATCAGAAACCGAGAAGAGACCCAGGGATAGAGTAGAAAAAGATTGGGCAAATTTTTGCCTCGGGCCTCTAATTAGGCCAGAAAAGATGCACTTTAAAAGTAGATCCCTCAGCAGATCTGATATTCATGGTTCAGCCTATATTTTCAAGAAAGTAATCATGCTCCTAATATTAGTATATTGCATGATGGGGAAGGGGCGCAATTTATGGGGACGTCTTCGGGGGGAGTCCCACCTTGCCAAGTTTTGCCCTGGAGAAGTTTGAAGAAGACGCCTTTGGTTTCCTTACCGTGTTACCAGAACGCTCTGAATCATCCCTTTGCTTCGGTCGCTTGGAACAAAATGTGTTTCCTGAAGCTCCGCGTCTCTTCTCGGTTACGTGAGGCAGAACCGAGGTTACGGTTTGGGGTAAAACATCCTGGACTTCTTTTTTATCTTTACCAGGTTGCTGATTTCAGCGGAACCACCGGAAATCCCGTATGGTTAACCGCCTTCCCCTTTATTCGGTAGCGATACACTCACAGATCTGCGCCTCTCTCTTTCCATGGACACATCTTGAGTTCATTTTTAAGTAGGGTGGACTTTCCGCCCTGAAATTAAACTCCCACTGGATGGCCGCAGTAGAAAGGCCCAACCGTACGTCGCCATCTTCTGGTTCTGCACCCCAGTGGCAAAAGCAGACCCTCCCTAGAGTTTCTCCTCGCCTCCCACCCACCCCTTCACTGCCAGCCTGTCTAGGATGTCTGTAGAGGTTCTCCGTCATCCAGGTCACGGTTGTCCCAAAGGTGTTCGTTTTTCTTGTTTTTTTATTTTGAAGTCGTTTTGCTTCTCATTCAACAAGCTTCTTCGGTTCTGATTGGATGGTGGGGAATGGGAGGATTTATATTCCTTGCAGACAAAGCTGGTCATTTTCATCCTATTACCGAGTCACTGAGGCCACTTGGGGTTTTCTCTGCGTCCTCAGGGTCACCTGAGTGGTGCTCCTGGTTCCTGTAGTCTGCAATGGTTTTCTCTGGAAATCCATTCCTACTCTCACACCATTCGAAGAGTGTTCATCCCAAATGGTATAGCTAAAAGCTAAAATTGCAGACTAGAGGAACCATTTGCACCACTCAGGTGACCCTAAGGACACAGATAAACCTCCAAGTGGCCTCAGTGACCCTCTCAAAGGATACAAATGACCAGCTGTCTGCAAGGAATATCAATCCTTCCATTCCCCACTGTCTTCTCAGAGCTGAAGAAGCTTCTGGGATGAAAAGTGAAACAACCTCAAAAGGGGAAAAAACAAGCATCTTTGGGTTAAAGATGGTATTCAGCAGGTTCTGACCAGTTCTGGAGAACCGGTAGCGGAAATTTTGAGTAGTTCGGAGAACGGCAAATACCACCTCTGCCTGGAGATTTTATGGTATCCTTCTCCTGCCGCGCCCACAAAGCCATGGCCGCAGAACTGGTAGTAAAAAGAAATTGGAATCCCACCACTGGGTCTGTCTTAGGATGGTTTCTTAACCTTAAGCCACTTCCCAGCTCCCAGAATCCCCTGGTTTTAAGAGCTTCCCTTTTTATTTGTAGACAGTGGTGGGCACGGACATTGCTGAGCTTCTGCTCCAGGATCATAAGACGGTGTGGCTGCCTGGGAAGTCGCCCAACGAAGCCAACCTGATCGATTTCACCAACGAGGCCGTGGAGCACGTGCCCGAAGAGAGTGGAGAGGCTCAGCTGTCCTTCCTAACGGACAGCCTCATCGCCACCATCGACAGCCTAGAGAAGGAAACGGAGCGCTTCCGGGAGCTGCTGCTTTACGGACGCAAAAAGGTGCCTGTCTCACGTGGCTTCCTTCCTCCTTGTATCGTTTGGCTCCTGCAAAAAGAGGAGGAGAGCCGCCGAAAAAAATATAAAATAAAAATTAACATCTTTTCCAATCCTTTCCCAATAGGATGCTCTGGAATCTGCCATGAAACATGGACTTTGGGGCCATGCATTGTTGCTTGCCAGTAAAATGGACAGCAGGACGCATGCTCGAGTGATGACCAGGTAGGAGATGAGACCTCTGGGTGCCTCTGATCTCAGTCGGGACCCTTAGTAAGGCCCCGCCTGGAATACTGCAAACAATTTTGGTCGCCATACTAGAAGAAAGATGTTGTGACTTTGGAACAAGTGCAGAGAAGAGCAACTAAGAGGATTAAAGGCCCGGAGACTAAAACATATGAAGAACGGTTGCAGGATTGGACTAGTCTAGAGAAAAGAGGGACTAGGGGGGGACAGGATAGCAATATTCCAATATTTGAGGGGCTGCCACAAAGAGGAGGGGGTTACATTTTTCTCCAAAGCACCTGAAGGGAAGACAAGAAACAACGGATGGAAACTAATCTAAGGAGAGAAGCAACCTGGAATTAAGGAGAAACTTCCTAACAGGGAGGACAATTCACCAGTGGAACTACTTGCCACCAGGAATGGTGGGTGCTTCATCACTGGAGGTTCTTAAGAAAAGAGTGGTCAGCCACTTGTCTGAAATAGTAGAGGTTCTCCTGCTTGAGCAGGGCTGGACTAGAAGACCTCCAAGGTCCCTTCCAGCTTCTCTCCTCTCCTCTCCTCTATTCTATTCTATTCTATTCTATTCTATTCTATTCTATTCTATTCTATTCTATTCTATTCTATTCTCTATTATTATTCTATTCTACAGAAGTTATTTGGGCCAGATCTGGTCAGGAGGCCAATGCAACAACCTCTTTTCTCGCTTTGGGTCTTGCAGTGTCTCTTCAAAGGGGAACTAAGGCAGTTTTTCTCCTTGGATTGTTGATTGCTGACGGTTGTACTCTTTTCTTCCTTTTTAACCTGTTTTTAAATTAAAAACAAAGTTAAAATACAACATAGAGAACTAAAAAAAAATGCAAAAGGACAGATGAAAAAAAACCACACAAAACAATCAAAACATTAAAAAGATGCATAAAAGGACATTATACGCATATCATCCCTTCTAGTTGAATACTGATTAATATATTATTACAACATTAGTTCCCACCCTGTGCAAAACAAGCCCTCCAAAAATGTTTAAACTAAGACTGAATTTACTATATTTAATTAAGCAACAATTGACCAGAAACGATATTAAGAAACAAACAGTGATATTTGACCCATGACAATTTGTTTATAACTTTTGGGATGATTTGGGATAGATAAGATGCCACGGTAAATTTTTGTACCAGTGGATTACAAGAACAGTCTGCTATCAGAGAACTTTAGAACTCTACATTTTGTTTTGTTTCACTAATATTGTTTTTCCTGTTAAGTATTTGGTCCCAAAAGTGCTTTTTTTTCAAGAGGCAACTGGAGTTTCTGGTTTGTCTTCAATGACATTTCACTTCTCATCCAAGAAGCTTCTTCAGCTTTGAAGGACCTCCTACGCCAGTCTTAGTAATTTAAAACTTTTTGCAGAGCTTAAAGAAGCTTCTTGGATGATCTAACTAACAGATTAACAGAGTTGGAAGGGACTTTGTAGGTCATCGAGTCCAACTGACCACCCCAGCAGGAGACCCTACACCATTTCTGACCGATGATAGTTCAGTCTCTCCTTGAAAGCCTCCAGCGATGAAGCTCCCACAACTTATGAAGGAAATTTCTATTCCATCGATCGGTTGTTCTCGCCGTCAGAAAATTCCTCCTTATTTCCAGGTTGAATCTCTCCTTCCATTATTCCTTGTCTAGCCTTCAGGTACTTTGGGAAATAGCTTGACCCCTTCCTCTCTGTGGCAACCCCTCCAATATTGCAACACTTCACTAGAGTAGCCAGGCCCAGTTCTAGACTAGCCAGGCCCAGCGTGAGAAGCGACACATCTTCCAAGTAAAACAAGGAAGTCCAGTCGCCTCTTGGAAAAAGCACCTTCGGGATCACCATGAGCTGGATGACTTGAGAATCTCCAGAGATATTTGATCGCTAATATAAGAGACAGAAGACGGGTAAGCATGTTGCACAAACGTTTACTCTCTTCTTTCTAGATTTGCCAACAGTCTCCCGATAAACGACCCGCTGCAGACTGTTTACCAGCTGATGTCTGGTCGGATGCCCGCAGCCTCGACTGTAAGTTCCAAGAGGGATCCCACCCCGTAGCTTCCAAGGGTTGGAATTACAGCTTCCAGGCTTCCAGGGAATTCTGGGGCTGATGGCCTCAATATGCAGAGACAAGTACCGTATTTTTTCGTCTATAAGATGCCCCCCTTGTATAGGACGTTCCCTACCCACCCCCACTTTTCTTACCCAAAATTCAGACATCAATATTGTAAACCTTAAACAGAAGACAGTTTGTCAGGGTTCCGAGTAATAGGTCCCATTCAATAAGAACTCCATGGCAGACAAGTCCCTCGAAGGATATTTTTATTAGGACGTATCAAATTGGCAACTTCCTGGTGGAGAACCGACTCTCAGGTTGATGCCAGTCCCCCTCCCTCCCCCCAATTTAAAACAAAACTTCCATCATTCCCCCTCCCAGAGTCTCGGTCACACGATCCAATCAGCATACAGTCCAGTTGCAAGAGGACCTCCGCCCCCGCCCTGCAGACACCTGCACGAATGTCCTTGATTCCCAGGGAAAAGTATTTTATTATGCTACAACACCCCAGCTAATCTCTACAACCACCCCACTCCCCAGCCTCTTCACTCCAGGCTGTGTTAGCCCTGTGTTGTGGTTCGCCGGCGGTAGGTGCGGATGGCTGAGGTCTCGGAGAGCAAGGATTCGGTTGAGGGGCCTCTGCATGTGATGCAGGGATGGGGCCAGGACTATCAGAGAGAGGGGTGCTGCCTTCGGAGCTTGTGGAGTACGGCAGCGGTGATGAAGAGGACCCCGGGGTGTCTGTCCTGTGCATGTGCATGCAGGGCTGCTCAAAGGAACGAGCAGCTGACTCGGGAATAAGGCTGCAAGGTGATGGCTCTTCCCATAAGGGATAAAAGCCAGCCTTCGGGGTTGGCTTCTTTGCAGGAAGCAAAGAAGTTCTTTCAACTCCCAAGTTCTTGTGGAAATCCTTCCTGTCTGTTCTGGTTTGTATTTGGAGATTTTTGGTTTGGAATATTTCTCTACAGTTAATCTTGTATTCTGGGCAGCCTTACGTAACCTTGAAAGGGCTTGCTCTTATCTGGGACAATTAGTTTGAATGACTCTTTGCTGTGAATGAACAGAATTCACAGAGACGCATTTAAAAAGGTTTGCTTTGTGTTTCTTTGATTTAAATGAGGCTTGGGTCACAACACCCTGAAGCCCTGAGAAGAGAAACCTCCTGAGCAACACCCCCCCACCCCCCACCCCAAAATTGGCCATATTCCTCAGGGTCGACACATTTATTTTGCAGAGGAAAACATTTGCTTACCGGTACCGTATTTATTTTTTGTTTGTTTTCTGACCTTTTTATGGGCTCAGAAGGCTCTGACATTACCACTCCCTTTCACACCTGGGCACCAGCAACATGCAGCATCAGCTGACGCCAGTGACATAAGGTTCATGATGGGAGGAAACCTGTTAGCTTGTTCCTGCATGCGGAGGTTTAGGCTCACGAGGCTAATTTGCAGCGGATAAGGTATCGGCAGCCTCGTAACCTCGGTGTTCTGGCCCAGCTCCCCAAACCCTCTGAAGTGAACTCAAAAATTTCTTTATTAGGAGCACCAGCAGCCCCCCGCAAAAAGTTTCTCTTTCAATACAAGCTAACAAGTCTGTCCACCTATGAGGTGAATAGTTGCCTGCCATATCTACTCATCTTTGCCCCCTGCCTTTTATCCCCAGAGCTAGGGTGCGGCCTCACTAGCAGCGGAGGCTCTTCCATCCCAGGGACCAGCCCATAGATTTCCACTGCTCTCCTCTCCTCTGCCTTCTGTGCAGCCGCGCATCAGGCACTGGGCCCAGCTGTTCCTCCTCTTCCTCATCAGCCACCTCCAGACCTGGGGGCTGTTGACTCTCCATCTGAGGGCTGAGTGACACCCCAGGCTCCGCCTCCCCCTCTCTCTCTCTTTCTTTCTGTCTCTCTTTCTCTCTCTCTGACAGCTCCATTCCCTCTTCCCCCTCGGACCTCTCAGGTTGCCTGATGCTGACCCTGACTCCCACGCCGCCTCCTCTGATTCAGCTGCTGGGCGGGGGGGGGCTGGCGGCCAACAAGCCAAAGTCCAAGGTTCTCCTCTTGCCCTCTCCAACCCCCATGCATAAGACGCCCTCCGTTTTTAGGTCAACATTTTTAAAGAAAAAGTATCATCGGGAAAATACTGTATTTCTGTAGACCGCTTCAGCTCTTCTGTGCTCATCCTGGCTGGGATGCACACCCTTAGTTGTTAGGGATACACCCTAGCAGAATCTGCACGGCAGTCAGGCAGGCAGGCAGGCAAAATAGGTGAGATAAACGTTTTTGTAGCTTACACTCAGTAAAACAGATACACTGTGCTAGTTAAATAGTTTATTCCAGTAAGAGTTTTAGCATAGTCAAACAGTCCATATATCATTCACTAGCTCAGTCCGTCCAGGGATTATACAGTTGCAAAGTCCAGTGTCGGAAAAGAGGTCAGTAAACTTACAAATATCAGTCCAGTAGTATATCTCCTCGCAGTAGAGATATGAAGAAGTCAAACCTCCTTTCTTCCTTCAGCGTTCAAAAACTCAGCAGTAGGGAACACGCAGTTAGCAAACCATCAATCCATCAAACCAGCAATCGTCAGGTTCTCTTGCTCCCTCTTTTATGGCGGTTTCACACCGCACCCAAAATTACATGCTTTGCAGTTTAAAGTGACACACACTTAAACTTACTATCATAGTTTATATATATTATTTTACCCAAACTACGTTAGGTAACCTTGTTATTCCTAACATTAGTCCCCACTCTGTGCCAACTTGGGGGGGGGGGTGCTTTATAAATGTGCTGCCTCCTCTCGTCTTTCCATGGCTGACAGCATCGGCCTCTCCCCTCTTTTCTTTCAGTGCTGTGGAGATGAGAAGTGGGGGGACTGGAGGCCTCACCTGGCCATGGTCCTCTCCAACCTGACCAATAACACGGACGTCGAGTCAAGGACGATTGTCACCATGGGGGACACGCTGGGTAATCCTGCAAGGGCAAAGGGTGTGGAGGGTGGGGAAGGGGGGGCAGTGAATCTGGAACCAGGTTTTGGGGCGGGGGGGGGGGGGGGTTGGGTTTGCGGGCCCAGGAAGCTGGATCTATTTGCAAGGGTTAGTGACAGGAATTCCAGCAAGGGGAATAATTTTGATTTACTTATTTCCTTACTCAATCGTGTTTAGCCTTCACCATCTCCCTCACAGAGACATTCTGGGTGTCAGCTCATAAAACATTCCTGTGCCTGTTATGGTAGTTGCCCTTAAAAATGGGGAGGGGGGAATCTGGAAGAGCAGTGCAGCAGTTTGAAAGCGAAAGCGAAAGCACATTCCAACTCTTCTCTTTAAAAGATTATAACTAAAGTACCAGAGTTTTTGCTCGCAAATATATTTAATTGGAGAAAGTGAATGATGACACCCAGCCCTGAACGTGCCCAATTGGAGAATCTGGTTGATGAAACACCCAGGGGGGAAGCGGGAAACAGGGTCACAGGTTTTCTTTTCTTTTCTTTCTTTCTTTCTTTCTTTCTTTCTTTCTTTCTTTCTTTCTTTCTTTCTTTCTTTCTTTCTTTCTTTCTTTCTTTCTTTCTTTCTTCCTTCCTTCCTTCCTTCCTTCCTTCCTTCCTTCCTTCCTTTTCCTTCCTTCCTTTCTCTTTCTTTCTGTCATTCTGTTTTTCCTTCCTTCCTTCCTCTTTCTTTCTTTCTTTCTTTCTTTCTT